AGGCGGTGCAACTAAGGTAGTTTGAATTCAGTCATGCTTTCATTTTTCAGACAAGAATGTCTTTATTAAGAAATACTCATTAATTATAGAAGGTATCTGTTTAGTTTTTCTCTGTAAGTACAGAATTCTAAAATCAAAAGAAAGTATCTACATTCTATAAAGCATGGTAGAAGTCAACTACTCTCAAAGTTAATGTGACTGAAGGTCTCTATTGAAGTAGTATTAAATCAAAAGTTTAGGTGATATGCTCATCTGGAACCAAAATGATGCATTGATGTCCACATCATGAAGTTGTGGTGGACAACTTATTAAAGATAAGTATTAACGATATACATGCAAGACAGCATATAATGTGGCCCTTAAGCCTACTAAGGACCTATATATCATAAGTATATAATGATTACTTTAGTAATGTAGACACTAACAATGTCAAACCCCTTGTTTTAAATCTCCTCCTGTGATTCCTACAGAGTAGACCTTAAAGCAAATTTGTCACAGTAAAAACATTTCTCTTGTACATCAGGAGATGCGCAATGTGAAATCATTTACTCGTATCTTAAGTAACAGTCTAATCATCAGATGTGGAGATGCAGATGCTGAACAACTTGTTGACTAAGGGAAAAGAAACTGTGCTTTCGTGCCAGTAAGCAGATGTGCTCAATAGACTGGCTCATAAGTGCTGATTTAGAAACAGCTGTTAATGCTACCATCATCTTTAATATAGCTCATTTCCCTCCACTTCCTTTGTTTTCCATACATACATATGCTTGCTCTATACAGTTAAGTTGTGCTAGTCAGAGGGTGGAGCAGAGGGAGTGCATTTTAACAAATAATAGGCAATCAGAACCTGATTCTGGGAAGTGGTGAGGACTTTCAGCTCCTGCTAGAGCTAACTTAGTCTTGAAGAACAGCATAAAAATGTTCATAAAACCTACGGTATCAAGTTTGTCATAGATGATCTTTAAACTACTTTAGAAGGAAATAATTTTTTGCAAAAGTTGTAAATGGCACAAGCAGGTTCTTTCACTGGAAAAAAGTTCAAGAGTTTTTCAAGTTCACTTCAGTAAGGGCTTTTTCTCTCTCCTTTATTTTTATTTTAATTTTTTCTTTATTTTTCTCTCAGTCGTTCTCTCCTTTCTCTCTTTCTCTCTTTCTTTCATTCTCTCTCCTCTTTCTTTCTCCTCTCTCCTTTTTGTTTCTTCGGGCGTTTTGTTCTGATGCACGTTTTGTACAACACCTGTAAGTTTCAAATGAGTTGTGTGTTTGAAAAGCACAGTTTTCCATGAATCCAGATAAACTGACAGTCTGAAGTACTTCACACAAAGTTTGCATCACTTCCTTCCCATTACTAAAATATAGATGGATCGCGTATCAGTAACAACTATACCCTCCATAATTGACTCTTCAGCTCCAAAGGAAGTTCAGAATTCCAGTACCTGAATTTGATCTCTAGAGGAAATAACAAGTGAAGGACCTGTCTCATATTATTAGCATATGAGCATTAAAGACTTCATCTACAGTCCATTGAACTTGATGGAAAAACTCTCACTGACATTAGTGTACTTTGGATCAGGTCAAAAGTGGATTTCAGTACTTTATAATGGAGGACATAAAGAAATATATGTAAAAAATACCTAACATAGTCCCTCATATAACAGTCCCTCTGTACATTAATGCACCAAATGACATCAAAATAAATGTATAATATTTTCAATAATAAACTTTACTATAATTGATTTCTAGCTTTTGAAAATAATTTTTCATGTAATAGATAAAGAAATTTCTTATTTGATATTCTCTAAGTAAATCAGATGCAGATTATTTGAAGTCATTAATAAAAAGGCCTAAAGCTGTTTTTTTACTTTTTTTTTTCCTTTTAAAAATTGTTATTATTTTCTCTTTATGGGAAGCCTGACAGGCTATATGCCAGTCAGTAGTATATATTCTCCTATGGGAGTGCCAGGGTTATTCTCTTTCCCCTACACTCAAGAAAGTGCATGCAAAGATAGCTGGAGTCCTTTTAGCCCTACATCCCTTAAATGCCATGTTTCCCAGACAGTGGATCAAATCCTATGAGGAATTTATAAATGTATCTTGCACTTGTTCTCGAAAAGGGAAGTCATTGTCCTTCAATTGATTTATATAAATTAATATACAGACACTGATTTATATCAATTAATATACAGACGCTGACCTAGACTTGTCCCTGGTGCAGGCATTTCAGGGCATGGTCAGATGAGCTAGTCTGAAGGCAGATGATCTGAACGAAGAGATACTCCCCAGCCTGTCCTCGGCTACTCATTAGCTGGAAGCTCGTGCCACTCAGTTCTCCTGGGTTTAACGCTCAAGGAGAGACTGCTCTCAACTGTGGTTTTGTGAAGTGACCTGAATTAGAAAAAGCAGCAGCAGCAAAATATTGTAGGAAAAAATGGAAAACAAAAAAGAATAATTTATTAAATTGGAGTCAAAAAAGTCAAGTGAGCAGATGTGAGAGTTTAGCTCTGTCTGTGACAGGAGAACAGAAATGAGCACCTGCATCAGGAGCCAGGCAGCAATCATCCTGCTCACATTTGTCCCAGCCAGAACAGTTTCTGACAATGACTGTAGGAGTATTAGCTTCAGTTTCTCAAGTATCCAAAAATGAAATGGATGCATCTGGAAGGTGGTTTGCCTGGATCTCTCCTGTGCCACTAAGTTAAAGTGGGTTGAATCCAGGTCGTGCATTGAAATTTTTGCTTCAAATGCATCGCTGTTATTTTTCTTGAAATCACTTTTTGTGTACATTATTATTTTGTTTTAGGCTTTCAATGCTGTGACTTATTCCATGAATTTTCAAGGATGTAAAGATATCCAGAGAATTGCTTAGACCTTTTAAACATCACTCCAAGCCTGTTATTTCTTCTTATCGAATAAAATTCTCTGGTCCCTTATTTCAGAAGAAGAGTGATAATATTCTGTGGTACTGGGTTGAATCCAAAGTCTATTATTTTTGATGTTTAGATTATGACTGCAGTTGCATCTACTGCATTGTCTGCACTTTTACAAGAGAAACTTCATTGTCTTAAAAAACAAAAATAAACAAAATGACATCTTAACTTCCCCCGGAAAGCTGCCAATGCTGTACTAACGCTGTACCCTTTTGAAGACACTGTTTCCATGGACACCTCTGATACGTGACCCGAGCATGATAATTCCCAACATCACAGCAGCCAGTAATAAATACCTTCCCCTTTACACTCATTTCACTTTACAAGCCAGATTCTTTGGCTCTGATGAGTTGACTAAGGAAAGGAATTGCTGTGCTTTGAGGCTCTTAACTAACCTGGAATCATTTTGTTCTGTTCCCAAGTGATTGGCTTCAACAGCTCACATTGACTTTAACAGGAATATAGAGTACAAAAAAATAAATATACCTCTCTTCCTTCCCACATACGTACATACAGACAGTGACGTTAACTATCAGTTCAATTGTAGTAAAATTTTAATGTAAAATTCAAAGTGATAGTAAAGGTTAAACACTGCAATGTTTCCTGGATGTATAAGACAGATTCAGCAAAACAGCATTTTTGTGGCTCTATTACTCATGTTGTACAATATGTCCTGCTGTGCCTGTTCCTTGCTGTTCTTTTAAAACTCTGAAACACATTTTGCTAAACGCAGCAGAGGATACACCGACATTGCAAGCTTTCTTCCTTTCTTTCCAAATGAAAAGTTGCAGACATTGTTTATTTTTCTGTGGAACTTTGTGAAGATCTGCATAGACAAACACGCATGAGATTTTTTAGCAACTTTAACTCTAAATGGATCAAACCCAACAATCTTGTATTCATACTGGTTTCAGTGACAATATTTTAATTTGATTTGAAACCAGCCTTTAATCTGGTCTAATATATTTGACAGATGCTATGAACATCTTTTTTTTTTTTTCTTTTCTTTTGGCTAGTGAAAAAAAAGTCCTTGTGGTTTGCAGTGCTGGTACTTTAGAACCGTGCAAATAATTTAGGTTTACTCCCCCCCTCCCCTCCTCCCCCCCCCCATATTTATATACAGAGAAGGGAAGGAGGGGAAATGAGTTTCAGCTGGAGTGAAATCTTGGGGTTTAATGTGTCTTAAACAGAGATACATTTTTAACCTTTCATGCTATGAATTTCTTTTCCATTCTCATCTGAAATTATTTACTGATTTTGACTCAAATTCATAAATGTCTTGTCCTCTGGTTTTGGGGCTATTTATTTGTCTGAAAAAATTGACCAGGATCTATGGCTAAATGTAGTAAAATCGAGGATCAGTCAACTAGAATCATTTAAATACATTTGTGAAATAGACAGGGAAGTTGTAAGTTTTGACAGTAAGAAATGCTCTTTCAGATACTTCAGCAAGTAAAAAAAAAAAAAGGTTTTTAAAATGCTCCACCTGAAACTTACCACCGGTTTACAGAAACAAAGAGGCAGAAAGCAATGCAAACTTTCCAGTGCAAGTTCCTTTCCAAAGTAACTACCCTCCTTTGAAGGGTAATTAATGGCACTATAAGCACGAAGGGCAGTAGTATGGATCGCTGCCAGCAGCCTGGGCTTTCTGTTACACGAGAGGTAGGTTCTTCTGTGCGGTCCCTTGATGGGTGTACCATTTGGCCTCTGTTTCTCTGCCTGTGAAATGGCATTAATACGTTTTTCAAGAGTATGTTAACTTTTTAATGTTTTCTAAAGGACTCTGAGACCTTCCTGTGGAGCTATCTGCTGCAGATAGCCTGGCTGCCTTCTTTCCCTCCTTTCCCTCCTTTGCAGTCATTACCCTCACATCCCAGGGTTCACGTCCTATCCAAAACTGGATCGCCTGTCCTCAGGGAAGGCTTGCTAAGCTTTTTACCATACAGTCAGAAAGGCAGCGTGTTGCACACTAAAAAAAAGAAAAAACTCAAGTGCTGTGCTATAGCTAGAAAGATCATTATTACCTTCAATGACCCCATCTTTATTTTCTTGTTTTGTCTTTCTTCCGCGAAGGTAAAAGTTTGGTTCCAGAACAGACGAATGAAGTGGAAGCGGGTAAAAGGGGGCCAGCAAGGGGCAGCAGCCCGGGAGAAGGAACTGGTGAATGTGAAAAAGGGCACGCTGCTCCCCTCCGAGCTCTCTGGCATCGGTGCAGCTGGTCTCCAGCACACGGGGGACTCACTAGCGAACGACGACAGCCACGACAGCGATCACAGCTCTGAGCACGCACACTTATGATACACAGAGAGTGTACCCAGCTCCGTTCTCAGGAAAGATGCTTTGCTGGCAAGCCTTACACAGGCATCGTTTACGTATGCAAGTGACTCTGGCAGTGATTTTTAAAGTTGTTATGGAAAATTCAGGCTTATTGTGTCTGCTTTTCTTGATTTTTAGATGGTTTACAGTAAGTGCCATGTCTTAAAGGTGCCTCAAGAGTGCAGAAGTGGAAGACAAACTTACTTTGAACATTCCAGATTTGTTTGTCATGTTTATGACAGCGGGCAGGTATTTTTGCTTTAGCTTGCACTGAAAATTACATTGCTCTCAACAGACGTTATATTCTGAAAACCACAGTGCCACAAAATCACTATCTAGTGGATAAGAAATGTATTTTAACTCTGTATATATTTACCTTACAGCATTTTCCTGTCTTCACTAATTTTAGCAATGCATTCATATTAGCTGATGGCAATAGTCACTCATGACAATAAATGGCTTTTTGTCTCTTTATTTTTGTTTTGTTTTTCCAAAGACATACAATACATGCAGATACTTTTGTTCAAGTAGAGAACAATACAATAGTGTCTGCTAGGACACGTCCTTGTATGACAGACAAAACAAACCTTATGTTGCATTTACTATCAACTGCTGCTAATAGGGTATTATTAAACTTACCTAGCTCCTCAATTCTTCTTATCTTGTAACTGCAAAAAATGATTTTTAGGATCATAAGGATAGTCCAGTAACCTGCCAAAAAATGTCATGTTCCACTCATGCTCGGTGGAAACTTCCCAAAGGATTATTCATTTCTACTTTGTCATAATTGAGTACATTGATAGATACTGACACTCTGCAGAAATATTGTCGCTTCATCTTCAGTTTTAAAAAAAACAGCAGATAAGCTGAAAGTTATTATCAACAGCTTATGATGTTGGTAGAAATCAAAATATGAAGGTAACTCAGTATTGTGTCCCATGTGTAAAATCAAGACATTTTCTGATATAAGCTTTTGTGTACATACAGGCAAATACCAAAAACCAAAATTTAATGCAAACCATTGATTGTACTTTGTAAAGAAATATGTTTAATAAATAATCCTTTTTAAATAATTCTGGTCTCTCTGCAGTGATTTCATAGGATACTTAAAGTGTTTTTTGTAAAAGTCCTAAGCAGCTCTGCCTTTTTCGGGTCTTTCGGAACTTTGTCTGTGGACAACACAAAGCTATGTTTTCAAATTTAGGCTTTTAATCTTGGATAAGCCTTCTACTTTGATCCATTTGGGAAACTCTTTCCTTTAGCAGGAAAAATGCATCTAGCAGCTAATGATGTCTTCAGCCAAAACCAACAAGAGTCTGTTCAACCATTTTTCCAGATTTAGAGCAAATATAAAGGGCGATTTTGTTGGACCTTGTTGAAATGGATGAAAGGGAATAAATATCAGGAAGGGATGCATACTTATATTATCATGCCTTTGTCCAATAAAGCTGTTCAGGAGAAAAAAATAAAATATCTCCAAGAAATTCAGAGATGAATTGGACTGGGTAGTGTGATAGAAGGAGCTGAGTGAAAGAAAGAGCGAGCAAGAAATGCGCATATCCTAGTAAATGCTTGTGAGCATTCACTGAAGCTCTGCAATGTGGAGCAGTACGGCATCATAAAAGTTAAATGCGATCAAGAACTCTGTGTCTGTTTTCCAAATCCTTTCCACTATAGGTTTGATCTTTCTTGCACATTAATTGTTGTCATGATCATTTTAGTTTAAGATATCCAAGCAATGGCTAATTCATTTCTTTAAAGACTTCAGAGCATTTTATTGGTTCCAGCAGTTAAGGGGTTTTGCATTTGTTTCTCAGTTCTTTTTCAAATGCCTTTATCATACAAAATTGCTGAGAATGAGAGTAGGATAGAGAAGTAAGCCAACTGCTTGAGAATACTTGATATTTTTGATTTCATGGCCGGATGGGAAAGTTTTTTTGGGTGGTGGTGGGGATTATCAAAACAGGAAAAAACCCCAGTGATTCAGTCTACAGCTTTTTATTCTTGGCTGGTTTTTTCTCCCTCTTGAATGAAATATAGCTAAATTTCAAAATGAAAAATTAGAATGAAAAGTTGAAAAAAGCATCTTGAATTTTCAAATAACCATTTTTAACAACAGAGATTTAGTCAAATATAATGTGATTTGTTTTGCTAGTAAAGAGGGGAGAGAAGATTATTGTCTTTCAAATGCTCTGTTTGCCAAAAATGCCTTTTCAGGTTTGCAGCATTGTTTGTTGCTGTCTTTCACAAAAAGTTTAAGATTGAATCTGAAAAGGGATCAGCCAAGTTTGAGCTGACATTTTACAAAACAAATGGAAGTGCTTTATTTACATTACCTGAAATGCACCAGCAATGTGTTCCTAGCCCAAGGCATTTTGAGAGGTGTATTATTCTGTTAGCAGCACCGTGATTTGACTGCGATACTTGCGGTGGGGGACCAGCCAATACGTGCGATGATGGCAATCTGTGAGCCATAATAATCTCATTACCAGGAAGAATTTTTTCCTATTGTGAAAGATAGTCTTTTTCCATTTTCCTAGTTTTAACTGAGTCTGTTGAGACTTAAAGCACAGGTTGAAGAGAGAGAAACGTGCAAACGGATTTACAGTGCTAGGAGAATTTTTGTTTAGATAATTCAATGAACCTTCAAACAAAGGGCCAAATTATGTAACTTTATATTACAGAAAAAAAAAGATGACTAACAAAATTGATTGTCTCCCATGCTTTAAAAACAGTTCAGACTTTGAATTTGGCTGTAAGGTGCTATCGTATGTAGTAACCTCTCAGATTACTTAAAGACCTCTGATGGCTTTAAACAACTCTTTTGTGGGTACATCATCGGTAAGTGCAGTATGGTGCAGAGAACCCACATTGGCAGAAGTTGAAGCTATGAAGTCTAAGCACAGTGAGCTTCCTACCATGGTCTTGAAGGAATTTACTTACAAGCACAGCCCCACAGAAATACAAACATGCTTCTTCCAGGTTTCAGCTAGCTCATATTCAAGCTACACATAGCAGCAACGAATGCCCTGTGCTTTAACTCCACTTTGTGGGTTAGTGGGTCTGCTCAGGACTCATCAATGCAGATGATGTCTCATCTTGTTCTGAATACCCCAATTACTCAAAAACTGTCTTATGGAAGCCCCCAGGATCAATCACCCGCTGTAACACATTATGACATTGTATCAAAGTTTTTTAGCATAATTTTGTTGCTGAAAACAGCTATGGATAGAAGCTTTTGAACTATAGCTTGAAGGTTTATTTTAATCTTCATTGGCTTATATCTGTCTGCAGACTAACAGAGGGTTCTTTTACCAATCTAGCCATATGGTATAGCTAAGGCTATACCATTTAACAGATGGACAAAATCAAGCCCTAAGATTGTGATTTGCCCAAAGTTGTGCAGGCACTTGGTGGTAGAGTGAAATGTGATGAAACCTAGTTTGGTTTATTTATCTTTATAAGTTCCTGTTATTAAATAGTGGCTAATCACTTTTCATGACTTATTGTCAATGAATCCTGCTTCTGAGGACTAATGATGTATTTTTGGAGTTACAGTAATTTTGATATCATATCTGTCCAGAGTCTACCCCTCTTTGATGTTCTGTTGTTAGCTATTGCTAAGCCAGACACAGAAATGTGTACTCTTAGGAAACATACACAGAAAATATAATTGACTGTAAAAATGCAGTGATGTTTACAGTTTAATTTTCAACATGATGGATAACAAGAATTCTTTTTTCTGCTGTCTCTGGGGTACAAGGCTATATATTATTTGCAGGGTTTCTTTCTCCTCCCTTATGACTGTTGAGTTTTTATTCAGTGTTTTTGTTTAGTATGGCTTCATTGTTTTCAGATTTATTTTGAAAATAGCAGTTGAAGAGGTGTGGTTAAAATAACACCATTGCAAGCTGGCTGAATTTATTAAATCACAAATTGGAAGTAGTTTGGGAATTTAATTAAATACTTACCTTTTCTTGATTTTCTTTTCTTTTCATCAGATCCAAAAATAGTCAAAAAAGGAGCACAAGAAGGAGAGACTCTATACTTATGTCTTTCCATCACAGGCCAAGTTTCAAGGTAGTTTATGTATCCTGCTTTCTTAAATGAAGGCTCTGACTGCTGCAATAATATTATTTGTACAAATAAAGAAAGAAACACCATTAGGACGTGCACTCTTAGTAGCTATGAGGAAACATAGTTATATAAGTTAGGGACAAAATGTCAGCTTGAGCCTTCATTTAGAATTTCCTGGCTTCAGTCAGTTTATGTCTCTTGGGTGAGCTTGTATTTAATAGAGTACATGCAGTATTTAAGATCGGCTACAAGATTCAAGAAATTTTAAAGAGTAATGTTTAACCAATTATGTACTGTAATTTAATATCGTTATGTAATGCATGTGGACTGAAAGGGAGAATTCTGTACACAACCTGGTGTCTATATTCATTTAAAAAAGGCAATGTAGCCAACAGCTGACAGTAACTGGCATAGCGCTTCAGTGATGATGCACATTATTACCTCAGATTAATAAGGAGTTACTAGAGCTCATTTGCTTTTATATATTTCTGTTCATTTTCATTTTAAGCCCATAGTCTTTTGACATCATTTACAGCTGAAAGCTGCAGTGTAGGAATCAATTTCAATGTAATTTAAGGCCCCTGGCTGTTAGTCAGGGCCTCCATATGGCATAATAAGAGGTTATCACAGTCATCTGTACAAACTGCAAATGTATTAGAAGTTTCTCAGCCATTTATTACTTCTGTCCAAGTCATGCATGCAGATCTGTTAGCCATTGTCCTTTTTCTGGCATCTGAACTGTCATGACTCCTATCTGCGGAAATTTGGTGAAACTTTACTTTCATTCAGTTGAAAACAATCACCTGGGCAGTAGACTTGGTTAGTATCAACAAACAGAGAAGACCCCGAAAAGTGTTGTAAGTGAAGAGCTTGTTAAATAGTAGTTGTAGTAGGAAATAATCATAGTTCCCTTTTTTGCAGTGCTTTTCTGTAGACAGACTCCAAAGATTTTTTAAAGAAAGGTAAGTTTTGAATTAGCCTTTTTAATGGATAAATGATAAGAGACTCAAGTAATTTATACTGGCCGCCTTGTATCATAGGCCCAGTAAGCCTTTTGGGATTAGTTTCAGTGCCCTACTAAATGTGCTGTGAGGACTTGGTTCTGTTCTTTTCTTATCTTATTTGGCCCTTGAATGCTTTCTGTGAAAACCTCTTCCAACTCTCGTGACCCTGACTCCTTCCCCTAACAGGATTCACAAAAAAAGAGTAAATATGTGGTTCTTCAAAGCAGAAGTGAAAGATATAATTGAGATAAGGTATAAGCATGTGATCCAGGACATTAAATAATAATTAAAATGGCATTAGTTCTGTTCAGAGGACTAATTGACCAGAATAAAGCATATTGCCACATCCCTGTTCTTTCCATAAACAGTTTCATATTTGTGTGTACCAATGTGATTATTTTAGTAATTTTTACCTATTATGTCTATATCTATTAAGGTTATATACTTGAATTTAAATATTCAGTTCTGATGCCTAACAAAATAACATTACTAGTCCACAGATAGACTTCTCTCTCTCAAGAGAGAGACAAAATTTGGCTGTAAGTACTCTTCTGCTAACATTTGGATTTTATCTGTAAATTCGGAAAATTTGGCATCCATTAAGAGAAACCTTGTACAATGTTATTTTACATTAGTAATCAACAATTTTCAGATTCACTCATCCTTTAAGTAAACAGCACAATAATTGATTTCTGTAGGAACTTTCTTGTCTTATAATCACATGATAATATAACGGGTTTTGTGTTATAAAAGTGTGCTCCAAAACTATATGAAGCAATGAACATGGCAAATATCTATAAAAGTGGTTTAGTATTTTGGGACAGATTCTCATCCTTAGTGTCACCATGAATATATAGACACTGTATATGTTACTTACGTTTGCTTATGGACTGCAGGGTTTTTAGAAGTATGCCTATTCTGAATGCTTACCACATTATTTGCCAAGAAAGTCACATGCACAGCTGAGAAAATACTGAAACAGGCA